TTGATCGCATAGAGTCTCATTTTGATCAAATTGAAACTCACTTACAACAGCAGGATGTTTAGTACAATCAGGACATGGGGTACATGAGAGCGCAGATGAATGATATTAGTTCCAACGTGCTTATGATAACCAGTTATTTTACTTCTTCAATACTGTACTTCCTCCTCCTCCTCCTCCAGATCAGGGTCCATCAGAGTAATTCATGTACTTGGTTATGTTTTTCTTTAGTTGATGTGTTTTGTGATGTGTTACATTGTGATATATTTTGTTTTAGTTATGTGCTTGTTTCATTTGATATTTTTGTATGTTGAGTTTTATGTGGTATTGATACCATTCAATAGTTTGTAATATCCATTATAATGATATCAATACAAGTTATCTTGTTTTGTTTTAATTTGTTTTTGAAATGTGTGTTAGCCTAAATGAAAATATCTAAACCTTTTTGATCCTACAAGTGTTATAACTTAAACTGCAACTCAAAATTGAATTCATTAGAAAATCTAATTTTTCTAAATTTAAGTTTTGCTTATAACTTGATAAAACTAAGAATGTCAATTTCATGTCTCTTATTAGACAACATTAATATTTAATATTATTATTACAATTGTGATGTTTTCTTATTTTGTATTTCACTTATCAATAAATATTGATGCACATATAAAAATTTGAAATTTTTTATTATGGATTTTGGAAAGATCAAGATTACTTTAGAAAAATGTACAAATGTACAAAAATCAAAAGGAATGCGCAATAGTTCGCAATTTGAAAAGGAGGCACAAAATAAGCCCACAAGTAAAAAGATGCACAAAAATGTGCCACAACTATTCAAAAAAATGCGCAAAGCGCCACATGTGGTAGTCATTTCTTTCAACAATCTTTTAATCTCTTAATTCAAATTGATCTTCTGTACATTTATATTTTGTATTGACATTTGAAATATACAAATTTTATATTCATCCTTTTTTGCAATGATTTTCTTTATCTTAGTGTCTAAATTGATTCATGTTTTTGATATATTTTTTTATTATCAATGTTATATATTTTCTTAAATTCTATGAATCATTTTATTTACCTAATGAATTGATTTTATTTGCAATATTTATTTCAATCACTTTCAAGGATCAATTATCAAAGGATTATCATATGACTGCTTATATTTATGTTCCTTTTCTTCTTCTCTTTTTGGTGTTGACAAAAAGGGGGAGAAAACATTATTTGTATTGTATCTGTGTGTTTGTCTGTATCATATCTGTGTGTTTGTTTGTATCGTATATGTGTACTTGTTTGTATCATATCTGTGTGCTTGTTTTGTTTTGTATCAAAAAGGAAAAATATAAAAGATAAAATTGTTGTGAAATGCCTCCTTACTTTCATATATTCATCAATTCAGAGGGAGTTTAGGAGATTCTTAAAATTTGAAATTTATACAAACAATAATTATTTTGCCATCATAAAAAAAGGAGAGATTGTTAAGAGAGTTGCTATTTGCATGTTTTACATTCTTGCAACTTGTAAAATTTTGATGAGTCCAAATATTATTGTTTTTAAAATTTTGTTTTCTTTTAACACTTTGTAGAAGAATTTTTTTTGCTATTATGTGGACTAACATTTCAGGATAATCGAAATTCAGACTAATGAAGACTTCAAATCAAAATTCAGCATGAGATAATTTGTAAATTGAAGCTTGTACTTTTCATTGTATTGAGTTTGAGAGGGAGTGATTGTAATTAAGAAACTTAGTACACACACACTTGGGGAGATCTTTAAAATTCATACTAATCGTACGGGACGAACCATGTTCGTACGGGACGATCAAGTCAGTTATCCTCTCGAAAGAGCAATGGAATGAACAGGAAGCTAGAAAATTTTTCTAAGTCCTGATCATCCAGACAAACATATATTCGTCCCAGGATGAAATGCTCTCTGGAAAATTTTCATTCAAACGAAACCTATATTTGTGCCAGGACGAAAAGCTCTCTGGAAAATTTTCATCCAGACGAACTTATATTCGTCCCAGGATGAAATTCTATTTGAAAAATTTTCGTTCAGACGAAACCACGAAATGCTCTATGTAAAAATTTTGTCCATACAAACTCTATTCGTCCCAGGACGAAAATGTTTTATTACTTCCAATTTGGATAACTTCCTGCAGTTTATCAAACCGTACCGGATGAACTTAGTTCGTACTTGATGATAATCGGGTACGAAATCAGTTCGTACCAATATACATTGGGTTCGTATGGAACTGATTTAAGTAAGTTCTTCCAGGACGATCCACGATCGTACGGGACGATGCACTATATACAGACTTGAAAATCAACAATTTTTGGACTGTTTTTTGTGTCTTTTCTATATAAAGTCCAATTAGAATTGCCTCTTAATCTTTTTGCCTACTGATCTTCGTGCCTTCTGAAAGGAGAGTCAAGGAGAGAGTGTGAGAGAGTGTTTAAAGGAGGATTCTTAATACTGGAGAGTAAATGTTTCACTTGGTACTCAAAGGAAAGAGTCTCTACTTGTGGTTTTTGATTACTTCACTCTTTTCTCTATTTCTTCTAGATTTTTTGTGAGAATATCTGTCAAAGAGATCCAGTTCTCTGCCAACACTTGGAGAGTGTGAACAGCTGAAGGGTTCTCTGCCTACACTTGGAGAGTGTGAACAGCTGACGGGTCCTTTGCCCACACTTGGAGAGAATGAAAGGACGAAGGGTTCTCTGCCTACACTTGGAGAGTGTGAACAGTCGATGGGTCCTCTGCCCACACTTGGAGAGTGTGAAAGGATGAAGGGTTCTCTGCCTACACTGGGAATAGTGTAAAAGGACGACGGTTATCTGTCGCACCGGGTAGTGGTGGAAGAGAGTTTTGTAAGGGTTTCTCCGCCTTACTGAGGGTGCAAAAGGAGAGAACTAGTGGTATTAGTGCAATACTCGGAGGGTTCCTCCGAGGAGTAGATGTAAGTCGTGTTTGACCGAACAACTATAAATCTTGTGCCTTTTTATTTTCCGCTGCATTTTAATTTTTTCTGTTTTCACTTGTGGTTGAAAAATCTCTTTATATAAAATTCACTAAAGTTAATTCTCGATTTTAAATTTCAAAAAGAGGGATTAATTTTTAATTACCAATTCACCCCCCCCCTCTTGGTTAGTCGCTGGGACATAATCTTAGGTTTAACAACCTAATTCATATTGAACAAGTTTCAACAAACACATGTAGACTCATTCAATGATATTGAACTTGTTATAAAGCATTAACTTAAGGTTTTTTTTGGTAGCTTTTTTATTATTTTCTAATCTAAAAAATATTGTATTAAAATTTTACTTTAAAAAATAACAAAAAATTTATCCCAAACAAAACCTTAGTTTTTATTTGGGAAAGCTTTCTTACTGCATTTTAAAGCAGCATTTTGGTACAAAAATTTTAATTTTTATGCTAAAAAATTGATTTAAGCAGCAGTAAAAAAATCGTCCCAAATAAATCCTTAATTTCATTATATCATTATTATGATTTATCTGAACTTTGTGTGCCTGTAAGTTGCAAAGCTCGTTTCATGCACTCTATTCATCTTGGGAAAGAAATAATATTATATTATTCACATCCTTGATTCTGACTATGGGAAATTTTATATTTTATTATGATGAAAGGAGTCATGATGGTGGACAATAAGGGTGTAAGTGAGCCGAGCCAGCTCGAACTTGACTCGTTAACGAACTCGCGAGCTGAGCTTATCGAGCTTCAAGCTAGAGCTCGAGTTCGAGCTCGTTTATTAAACGAGCTCGAGTTCGAGCTGGTTCAGGCTTGGCTCGCGAGCCAGGTCGAAATTATTTAATTAATTAAATTAATTAGCTAATATATTTTTATTTAAAAAATAAATAAATCTGCTGAGAGGAGTTTCGGACTATAGTTTTAAAAAAAGGATGGCTATTCAATAAAAATATACCTATTTCGGCCTATATGAGAGGACTTCCTATATTATAGTACAACTTATACCTCATCTTCATTAATATAGTAGAGAGGTTTTAAAAAAAGTATGAATAAAAAACTATTAATTACTTTCCCCAAAAAGAGTTGTTGCAGGTTCATGCTAAAAAAAATCCTAGTATTTATACTTTTTGAAATACAAAAAGACCAGGCGGGCAAAATGAAAAATTAGGCGGGAAAAATGAGAAAATGCGAAATCTAATCATAATCAAGTAGCTCGCGAGCCGGCTCGAGCTTGTCTTTTGAGCTTAAGCTCGTTTTCCGACTAATGAGCTGAGCTCGATAGTGCCAAAACTCGACTCGACTCATTTACACCCCTAGTGGACAATCATTACAACAATGACACTTAGGTTTTATTTGAAACGGCTTCTTTATTCTTTCTAAAATAGCTTATTGGAGCAACTTTTATACTAAAATTTAATTTAAAAAATAACAAGGAAGTTGAGGCTTCGTTTGGGATGACTTCCTTTCAGCTTTTAAAATAATTTAAAAAAAATAAATTTACGAAGTAGTAAAAAAGTGACAACTTTCCTATTGCTTCTTTAGCAACTCACCACGAACAGCCTTTGCTGGACAACTAAAAGGATGGCTTGTTACAAGCAACTCATAACTTAAAAAATGTTTGGAGCCATTTAAACCAGAATTGGCTCTGTGAAAAGTGACCAAAGCTAACGAGTGTACAACGCCCAATATGACTTCAAAATTAGCTATGAAAGGTGTCCGTTCGTCATATAGTAAGCATCTTGAGTACTACAGCAATCTCCAGTTACTCTTTCCTACTATATTCTCATTATGATTAGGGGGTGTCATAATGAGGTTTTGGGACGGGTTCGGATTTCCGGATCAATCTGAATCCAACCCAATTTTTAAAATGGATCGATTTGCTGAACCCAAACCCAAAATTTTTGGGTTTGGTCAATTTTCGGATCGTATCAAATATTAACACCCCTAATAATGACACATAAGCAAGTAAAGGAAAAGATCTCTTGATTAAAGAACTAAAGATCAGAGATGATATGTAAACATACGGTAAACAAAATTTCAGCATTAAGCAAGCTAGAGATATCACCTCTGCAGTTAAATACCAAATGAAAGTTCAAATTGTTGTCAAAGTAAGAATAAAGGAAGATGGGGAAGTAAAAAAGTAGCTAAGCACTGAGGATCCTTACCAAAATCCAGAAGGGTAATGGGAAAAAAAAAAACTAGAGGCTGAAAGTTCAACTGTTTTCAGGAACTTAATCAGTTTTATCTTGCCTTGAATAACTGAAAAACTACAATCTTCTCTCTGCTGTTCTTTGGATGGATTATTTGTTCTTGAACTTGTAGATCATATCACAGTGATTGGAAGGAACTAAAGAATTCATGGAGCTTTTTCCGGTCCAATGATTCCAGGTTAAAGGATAAAATGAAACCAATCACAACTGCAAGAACAGTTACAAAAACTGCACTCTTCATACAAGTGGAGCGCCGTGTTACTCTTCCCAAGAGAGCTTTGCAATACTTGTCTGCCTCTTTGACGGAGGCTTCATTGCCTCCAGCATCAGCCGCAGACAAAGCTTTTTCATTCTGTATGGAGAAAGACAAATTATTTCCAATTGAAATCCACACATAAAACCTCATTTTATAGTCTTTTACGCGTGAATTTTATTGGGAATTGAAGTACGAAAAACACTGCGCTATTCTTTACCAAATCCCTGAGGCGTTGAAGAGTCTCCTGCAAAGGACCGAAAGGTGAGAGTTTGGTTGAGTGTTCTTTCCATTCGTCAGATAGTTTCTGAAGAACAGATATGCTGGCTTCCACATTCTCCAAATGAAGCTTTTCCTGATTTAAAATAATATGACAATGTTGAAAACACAAATAGAAGACGAACATAGGCAAACATATAAGAAACCAATCCTACAGTTCAAAAGGAACAGTAAGTGTTCACCCATTGCTTATAGCAGTCTGAATTTTGAGCTAAACACCAGATAAAAATATTAGCAGCTTCTCTGGTTAACGAAGGATTATCTGCAAAACAGACATCAAAATGTATTCATAACATAAAGAGGCTACGGTCTTTAGGACTGAATCCTTTGAAGAAACGTAAAAATGCAAGGGAGAAAAACCTAATATGCAGAAGCAATAGCTCAAGTCTTACCTTCCTGCAGAGCATTTGCAGCATATGGAAATATCTGTTGTGATGCTTGTTTTGAAGCTTTGGAACCTGGAGTACCGGCAAGCGCTAGCTCCTTCAGGGTAGGATAAAGTGCTTCTAATCTCTCTGTAGCCTGAAGAGAGTTAGAGTTTAGAGTTAGAGTTTAGCATGGATGCTTAGATCCATGTCTTCTCAAAAACAGTAAGAAAACTTAAATCATGAAAATGAACCTTTACTCGAGCAGAAGGGGTAGGAAAAGTAGCCCGCATCAACAAATCAAGTGCAAAAGGAGGGACAATGCGCTCTCCTTTTCTAACAGCACCATTTATTAGAATAGGACGAGCTTTCGGCCGTTCCAAAATACTGCCAAAAAGACTAAATATTTAGAAACTGAACAAAAATTTAAATGACTTACCATTTAATATAGATCTATTGCAAACCTCTCAATCAACTGCAAAGCCAAACCCCTCGTCTGCGGATTACCACTTTTTCCACTGATTAGCGGCAATAGGCAATGAGCCCAAGCATGCATCCCAACAACCAGATCCCCTTGAGAAGCCTAAACCAGAAGTTATCATTATACGTATTAATCAAATAGGGTGACAACCAAAGTTTTCAAACATTTCATTTGCATTTTCTTGACTATGTTAGCCGTTCTACCTGAGAAATAGTCCAAACAATCACAGGAACCTTCTCTTGTCCTTGATATTGTGTATTGTCTCTTAGTTTTGGTAGAAGATTACTAAGCACCTCGGGTTTTCTTCGAAGAGTCATTGCCAGTACAACAAATATTGCAACCTGCAAAAGTTAAGTGAATAAAACCATCATCAGCAAACGCTCATCTTTGGCAACTTCAATTGAATATGACAAAAGAAAACAATTTTGCAATGACTTGCCTAAATGTTTGACCAATTCAACCAGTTTTCTAAGTCAAAAAGGTTTCAATCCAACTTAGAAAACTCTTCTGACTTCATTTAATGGGAACATTCATCCTATCATAAAGCTGAAATGATGGCCAATTGCACTTTATGTGAAAATAAAAACAGCACTTTAGTAGAAACTATAAAGAATTTTTTCGAAAATGGTTTATCATGAATATGCCATGCCAAAAAGTACTTGTAGCTCAGTAGCTTTTTGAACCATTCATTTCCTCATAAAAGGACAAATAAAAAACTGGGCCATCCACAATACATACAGATATACCTCTATCATATTGAACAATTAGCACACTCCATACTCTAGTAGAACCACGACATCTTGCAGAACTGAAAGCAACATAGCCTAACCATCAATCCAAAGCTGCCTGTCTAGTTTAAAGCTGAAAGAAAACACTTGAAGAACTCAAGTGGAACATATCAATTTTAAGATTCCAGCGATATTTCTCCAAAAAAACCCCAACCAAACCAGCAAAAACGGCAATATTATTGTGATAATCAAGAAAAACGGAAGGAAAATATCAAGATACAGTTGATCCTCAATTCAGGAGGAGGATCGATCTCTCCCAACTCTCTATACGCTGCAAGAGCCTAAGACGCAAGCACCAACACAAGTTTAGCAAACAAATATCATGTCCTAACCCTAATACAAACTTCTACTTATAGCAAACATAAAAATAACACAAAAGGACTAAGCAGCCCTCATACCCCACAGGGGGTGGGATTTGAAGCCTACAAAACAATAGGCTTCGGCTTGTTGTATTGCTTGAGTCAGCCCAAGGGTTGGGACGGCTGGACCAGTCTATGCATACCCCGCTCCCAAAAAGTAACATTATCCTCAAGGTGGAAAGATGGAAATTGATGTTGCACCCTCTAATAAGGCTCGCATGTAGCGTCATAATCGGAAAGGCCCCTCCACTTGATCAACGCCTCCTTGATCCCTCCCTCGCCCTGGCGCACCCCTTGTAGCTCAAGGGTTTCCAATACCACTTCCAAATATTCAGTCAGATGTTGTTGGCAACTCTGAACTCATTGTGTGATCCCCCATAGCTCTTCTCAACTGTGACACATGAAATACTTGATGTATGGTGGCGGTTGGGAGCAGCCTTAAACGATACGCCACTGCTCCAATTTTCTCTAGTACCTCATAAGTTTCAAAGTATATTGGAGTCAGCTTCTCGTTCCTCATGTTAGAAACCATCCTCTGTATGTAAGGTCGAAGCTTCAGGAACACCCTATCCCCGCTTCAAACTTGATGTCCTTTCTATGTCCATCCGCTTGTGTCTTCATAATATACTAAGCCATCAACAAATGCCTTTTTAACTCTTCCAACTCCCTATCCTTCTTCTCCAAGTATTCTTCCACTGAAGAAACTGGAGTGCTACTTTGACCAAAATGTATCAGGTGAGGTGGATCTTGTTCATACAATACTTTGAATGGGGTCATTTGGGAAACAAAATGATACCAAGTGTTGTACCAGTACTCTGCCCATGCTAGCCACTTGGCCCAAAGCCGAGGTATCTCTGAAGAAAAACATAGTAGGTATGTTTCCAACCTCCTATTTATCACCTCCATCTGTCCATCTATCTACGAGTGGTAAGTTATACTCCTCTTCAGAACTGTCCCAAATAGCCTGAATAACTTCCTTCAAAAATAGATGAGAAACACTTTATCCTTGTCAGATACTATGGACTATGGTATCCCATGCATCTGACCACCTCCCGAATGAAAGTTGTTGCTACTTTCACTGTCATATGGGGGTGTCGTCATAGGGGAATTAAATGAGCATACTTGCTCAGTCTGTCCACTACCACTAGAATCACTGTGAAACCTTCCGATCGAGATAGCTCGTCTATGAAATCCATAGAGACCACCTCCCACACCCGACTGGTAGAGCGAGGGGCTGCAATAATCCTCTTGAAGCCATGGACATGTAATTATTCCTTTGATAAGCCTCACAACTGGCTATCAACTCCTCCACATCCTTGTGCATCCCCTTCGAATACAACTCTGAGGCGAGTCTCTTATAAGTCTTTTGCACCCCTGAATGATCCCAACAGCGCTCCCATGGAACTACTGGAGTAGCTGGCGAATATGAACTGATGTCATCGGCATCACAAAATTTTCCTAGTACAACAACCTCTCCACCTCTAGAGAAAAACCATAGTGGCTACTCCCAACCTTCAATAAATCTTCCCTGATCCTCTAGCTTCTCATCCCGCGCACTCTCCTCCTTAATGGCCCCCCAATCTAACCTCACTGATATCGACATGACCATCTCCTTTAGCTCCCCCCATATATCTAGACGAGGCATCTACCGCCTTGTTCTCTATCCTAAGCCTATATTGAATTTCAAAGTCATATCCCAATAACTTTGTCAGCCATCTCTGGTGCTCTTCTATCACCATCCTCTGCTCCAACAAGTACATCAGACTCCGCTGACCCGTCCTGATAACGAAATGTCGACCCAACAAATAAGTCGCCACTTATGAATGGTTAACACAATCGCCATCAACTCATTCTCGTAGACTGACTTCAGCCTGGCTCTAGCTATTAACACCTGGTTGAAGTAAAAAATGGGTCGGTGGTGCTGCATAAGTATTAATTCCAAGACATACCCTAATGTGTCTGTCTCTATTACAAACACCCGACTTAAATCTGGCAGGGCTAAGACTAGTACATTGGTCATGGCCTTCTTCAATCTCTCAAAAGCTACTATGGCTGCCTCCCCCATAAGAAGCTATCATTATTCAATTGTTCTGTCAGGGCCAGGCAATGGTGCTATAGCCCCTCACAAACCTCCTGTAATATCCTATCAGGCCTAGGAAGCCCCTAAGCTCCCTCAAATTCTTCGGTAGTGGTCATCTTAGCATTGCCTCAATCTTAGCTTGATCAGCGACTAAACCCTCCCGAGAAACTACATGTCCCAAGTACTCCACATTGGTTTGTGCAAAGCAACATTTCTTCAAATTGGCCCTAAGTTGGTGTTCCTATAACATTTCTAGGACCGTCCTCAAGTGCTCCCAATGTTCGTACTCTGACCTACTGTACACCAGGATATCATAAAAGAAATCCGGAACAAATCTCCTGAGATAGGGTCGGAACACCCTATTCATGAGAGACTGGAAGGTGGTTGGGGCATTAGTTAGGCCAAAAGGCATCACAAGGAACTCATAATGTCACTCATGCATTATGAAAATAGACTTTGTCACATTCACCCCTTTCATTCAGATCTAATGACAAGCTAACTTCAATTCTTTCTTGATGAATATAACTATCCCACTCAGCTCATCCAATAACTCATCTATCACTGAGATGGAAAATTTGTTTGGCATAGTTTTCTTATTCAAGCTCCATAGTCCATGCTGAACCTCCAACTCCCACCCTTTTTGTTGACAAGTAACATTGGACTAGAAAAAGGGCTCACATTAGGCCTGTTAATTCCTTCCTCTAGCATTTCTCCGATCAATTTCTAAATTTTGTCTTTCTGAAATTGAGGGTAACGATATGGTCTGACACTGATGGGAGACACCCTTTCCCTCATGGTAATAGCGTGCTCCTGCTCCCTCGACGGTGGCAATCCTTGAGGCGGCTGAAAAACCTCACTAAAATGCTAAATCGATAGTTGTACTGAAAGAGGAATGTCTCCAACCTCCTTCAATCTGACCCTCTAGTCTCTATAGCTCCACCAAGAAACCTCCCTCACCTTATGTATGCTCATCACCATGGTTTTGAGAGACATCATGGCTTTGGATAGTCCCGCATCTCCCCTGATCACTACACTTCTCCCTCCACCAACTCCATCACTAGTACTCCCCAATAGACCTTGGTATTCCCCAAGGTCTGTAGCCATTTCATCCCCAAGATGACATCGGTGCTCTCAAACTCTAATGGAAGAAAATCCTCCCTCACCTGAACTTCCTATATGGTTAACACTACTCCCCTACAGATCCCCCAACCCGGCTCCATCTTCCTCGTACCCATCATCACTCCATAGCACCCTGTCTCCACCAATGTCAACCTCAATTGGTCCACGACTTGGTTGGAGATAAAATTATGGGTAGCCACATGTCAATCAACACCACCACCTCCATGTCTGCTATTTCCCCCTTCACCTTCATGGCATGACTCAAAGTGAATCATACCACTGAGTTTAGGGAGGCCTCTTCTACATCTAGATGTAGCTTGTTCTTCTCCTCTACCCCAGTCTCACTCCCACGTCCCTCAATTTACTCATCATCACAGATCGTGAGAACTTGAAGAGTTCATTCCCTGCACCTGTGTCCTGGAGTATACTTCTCATCACATCAAAAGAATATCACTTTGCCCTCTTCTCCTGCACCTCCCTCTCAGTCAGCCTTTAGAAGTTCCACTCCCTTCCTCCTACATGCTTCTCCCTTGGGGTCTCATGAAGGTTGCTCGGAGTAGGCCCTTTAGGCACTAAGAGAGTGGTAGTCATCCTATAAAAGCCACATGAACTGTTGCCTCAGACTCCCCTCTCTTGGTACTTTGGATCTTTTATTAGTTGAGCTAGCTCCATAGCCTCTCTCGAGTCATCAGGTCTCATGACTCTCACTGCTGTTAGGATCTTTGATTCGAACCCCTTCATGAAATTTTCCTCCAGAACAGTCGATCTAGTCGACTCGCCATGTAGTCAAATCTCTCGCGATATTTTGCCATCGAGCCTTCCTGTACTAGGGAAAACAACTGCTCATAAAAGTCCCCTCCCATGCTCGTTTGAAAATATTACAATAAGCATTCTTTGAACTCCATCTAACTCCATATGTGCCCCTTCATGTCTCTCCACTAGTACCAAGCCAACGCATTCCCTTCCAAACATAGGAAAGCTGTCGTCAATTTCTC